GCCGGTAAAATAAATTTTATATTTATCTCGATTCAGCAATCTCGTAATAAAAGTGACGTTGATAGATATGTTGAGCAACTAGTCGGTTGCTGACATTCAGTAGACTGTGGAGTCACCGTGAGTTTCACGATTTTTCAATTCCATGGAAATCTCTTTTGATAAATTCGCCGGACGATTTCGATGGATTAGTCGGCAGTCTGCGCTCATAACTGTACACCTAGAAGGAGCTAGTTATAGCAATGAACGCAACGATCAATCTCCATTGCGATTATGTTGTCTGCCAAATCTAAATCTATATTGAAATTCTTATTAAATATATTTTTAAGATGTTGTTTCATTGTGTGACCCGTATTTTCGTACAATAGGGTATTTATGTATTATGGAGTGAGTTGGGTAAGACTTGATAGAATCACGTATGTGTGAAACCTACATAATTTTTAATATATAATAATTTTAGGTTTCCTAATATATATATAACAATAAATATCGATCGATTGTATTGTCAAATCGTAAGTGCCAGAGGGTAGTATAAGATAAAGTAAAAATGAAATGACCTATATTGTTAGTCCATCGTTACGTACGTTGGTATGTTTTATACGTGGTAGAGCCACGTTGCAGCTATATTATGGTTGTATCACGAATGGGTCGGCTCAACCGGGGAAGGACCACGCTGTAACAAAACAGCAGCGTAAAATAGCAGCTTAATATTGCTGTGTTTCATATGGTATAAGTGTAGAGATCCGGAGACCTTTTTTATTAGAAACGAGGCATTCCATCTTAGTCCTCAGGGGTGATAATGCATCTGCGTTTTGATTCTTAATCGTGGATAAATGTAGATGTCTATGGGCGATAGCATTCACTTATCATCAGGTGGACTGTGTGCTCGTTTGTCACCCTGATTCTATTAAAAAATTTGCGGTGACCGTGTAATGGCAGTGCAGGACCCGTAGTCGCGTTGACGTCATAACTGAAGACCGCGGTAGAAAAACCCAAGAGATGGGCAACAGCGTCTTCCTAATAAGAACTAGAAAATAAAGCAGGGGTTGTCAACCCATCTGTTAAGCGTGGGCAATGCGACTGTGAGACTATGGCAAATATTCCCCGTACGAGGTAATCAATGGAAAGGCCTATGTTGAGTATTGCACTGATCCTCCAACTACTCAACTGCTACAAAGGCCCTACCGATAGTGTTTTGACGCAAGAAAAAATCCGCCGCGCCGCCTCAATACGTGTTAAAACACTACATTCCCTCGATTTTTTTTTAAATTTCTTAGAAGCAAACAAGCAAGTATCAGTCATATTTTGGCAGGCAAGGATAACATGCATATTTAGAGTGGGAAAACACCACACCAACGATATGATATAGTATACAATATAATTGCACTACATAATTAAAACTAACTGTTTTATACAATTTTTCTCATAAATTCAAACCTTCAAGTTATTTATTACCTTACAAGCGTCTCGCCCCGGCTTCGCCTAGGTAGGATCTATTATTTAAAAAGAAATCGTTTTGGACGTGACAACGTCTAATAAATCGATGAACGCCGACTGCACGCACGAAAAAGAATGACACATTGTAACGTTACGCTCATTGTAACGTTACGATCGAAGCGAGAGCTCTGCACGAGCGACCGAAAGGCACGATCGGCTTGAGCGTTCGCCTTGCGACGCAACTATCTCTCTTCCATAAAGTATGCAATCATTTCAACAACGTTTTGTAATGACGTTGTCACGTTAAACTATCGTCCGTAAACCGACTTTACAGAAAACCAACTTTACAGAAAACCAATTTATTAAATGCCCAAATTTTTTAAATAAAATATAGTCTAGGACACATCTGGCACTACCAGGCACTACTTTATGTTTGTGAAGATTCATTACAATTAGTTCAGCCACTTCGAACGTTAGCCCGTACAAAAATTTAAAATGGTTATTCATAATGACTTCTTACTTAGTTATAACATTTTTTATATTTCCGAAGTTTCTAATACTTTACACCCATGTACACCGGGGGGACTGAGGTTTCTACGTCCCAATGTCATAGTTAACCACGGCTACCTCCAGATTAAAACATTAATTTTTGTTTCAATCTACGCAGTATGACCTTACAGTATCTTGAAGACTTGCAGTTGTATTCTTGGGTTGGGATTTAATTTTATTAATTATATGATCCCAAGCAGATGGTAGCACCCAGCCATCTTCTTTATTTAAATTATGATATTTTTTGATTTCAATAGCCTCGCGAATCATCCTTGGAAGGAATCGATGTTCTTCTTTAGCGCGGATTTGTGGTCTATCAAATCTGTTATAGTGACGAGGGCGATCCTGTGCGTATTCACAGATTGTAGTATTCCCGAAGCGTCAATTCTTCACATCAGCTATGTGTTTTTTTTAAAATAAGTTAATATACGCAATAAAATCCGTAAAAACTAGTTTTATTTAAATGATTATCCATATCCTAATGACATGCAAATAACACCCTCAGCTCAAAAAGGCAATTATTTCGACATTACCGACATACACTTTAATTTTATTAATATGTATAGATTAAGTAAGCCATTCTACAAATACTTTTTAAAATTAATAATGCCTTTGGTGCATTATTAAAGTAACTGTAGGGGGTGTGTGTACAGTGGAGTTAATTGCAGTAGTCTGATCCCCTACGGATCCTCCCTCTATGAAGCTAATTTATACGGATTTAGCCTAGGATTTTCCAGGTTTAAATCTGGCAATTAATAGTGTAATATGTCGTTTAGTTTAAAGATTAGAAGAAGGTATCAACGTTGGTCTCTAATTTACACTGAAAACTTTTGTAGAGTTTACTTCAAGCAATATTATTTAAGAGAACTGTAATTTTAAAATTGGCCAAGTGCGTGTAAGAAAACCGATAGCGTAGGGTTTCGTTTTGCAGATTTAGTCATAGGAAAGTCATTATAGTTTTTATTCAAAAGTTTCCTTTACAAAGCACTTTTTGGTCGTCAAGAAATCCCTCAAGGCTCTGTGCTTGCCCCCCTCCTATATATACTATTCACCAACGACATCCCTATCCCGTCGAATGGTGTTAAACTAGCCCTCTTCGCAGATGACACAGCCCTTTACTCCAAAGGCAACTCACTGCCACAGATTCGGATCAAGATTCAAAAGTCAGTTAACGACTTAGGAGCTTGGTTCCAAAAATGGCGAAGAGCTCCGCCGTTTGCTTCGAACATAAACGACGCCGTTTTACCATCATTCCGCCAATCAGGATGTTAGGAACCCCTGTCCCATGGCAAACAAAAGCAAAATATTTAGGCGTCACCCTTGATGCAAGGCTCACTTTCGAGCCCCATATCAAGAAAGTCACTCGCACCGCACGATTTTACATGGGTAGGCTCAACAGCATGTTGGGCAGACACAGTAAAATGTCCCTCCACAACAAGCAAACCCTATATAAGGTCTGTATACGACCCGTAATGACCTACGCGGCCCCCATTTTCGCACATGCCAAACCCAACATTATAAATGAACTTCAAATAGTTCAAAATCTCTTCTGTCGTAGGGCTACGAACTCGCCCTATTATGTCCGTAATGCCGACCTCCACCGAGACTTAGAGCTCCCAACAATTCAACAGTTCCTCAAAACACTCTCTGAGAGATTTTTCAAAGCCTCAGAGTCCCACTCAAATCGCCTCATTCTTGGGACAGCTGCCTATGCAGCCCCTCTTCACACTTGCTATAGTGTAGTGTGCGCGGACCGAGAAACTCTCTCTCGGACCCCCCCCCCCACCCCCCAATAAGCTTTCGGCTGATCTGAACTGCCTCCTGGCGGCTCAGGCCGAGCCTACATAACACATCCCTTAATCTGCCTTAGTTAGGCACACTTCTAAGAGGCTTTTCGCCGCTTGCGCCCTCCTTTCTGCCAAGGAGGGTCGCGTTCGTATACGGCTTAAAGATCTCTCGTCAGATCAGTAAGCCAATCCCTAAAGGTGGAGGTTAGTGGGTAAAAGTCTCCATATAACCACGCAGCCGGCTGTGTGGTATGCTATGAGCATTTTCCACCTCCCTCCCCCGTTACCGGAGGGTTGCCCTTAATTGCTTCGGGCGCAAAAAAAAAGTCAAGAAAGCTACGCCAAACATTCAACAAGTCCCTACAGCGGGAGACCTTGTTTCTCACAAGCAGCGAAAATCTCACAAGAAGATTATTTATCATCCAACATTTACAATTTAATCGTATAAAATAAATACATAAGTAAAAAAATGCTGCAAAATACATGAGTAAAATAGGAAGCTTTCTTATCTTATAAATAATGATGTAATTTATAATATCTTTTCTATATAACAATGCAGGAGCAGTACAATGATGTCCTATAAAGTATTTTTCGGTTTTCGTTGTTAATTTTTAGCTGCATACTTTACAGTGTATTGTATTTGTATTGTACACAATTTGCAGTTTTACAATGTAAAGCTAAATATAAATGGTTATATGATACGAAATGCTTACAGATATTAAGATACAAAGGATACAAAGGATAAATACAAATACAATTTAATAAATGATATAATGTTTAAATATTTTTATTACTAAAAAATTATTTTAAAAATTATTTTATGGAATTTAAAACTATACTGAACACGGACTAGATGTGGAGTTGAAAAGTTATTGCATTCCCTGTTTACATACAACTGAAGTATATAATATAATATTTGTATATATTCTTACCTTAAAATTGCGTCCTATATCTAAAGAATACATTTTTTATATTTATTCTAATCCGCACTTAATATTTCTACTACAAGATTAAATGATGATTTTTTTTTAATTTATTTATTTATAAATTAGGTACTACAGCCTTATATATGTTATATTTGAATAACAATATAAAAATATAAATAAAGGCAGGTTATAAGTGTAATGGCAAACTTCACTTCCATTACTTTATTTAGGATTTTCTACAGCGGAAATAATTAACAATATTCTTAAAGCAATAAATACCTAGTTTAGGAATAATATATTAATATTAAACAAACCTATTTAAATTGTGGTTCATCACCATATTTTCTTTGGCACCGTTGGTAACACTGAATCCTGTAACAAATTAAAATTAAATGTGAGCATTAAATTATTGTCCTAATATTGAAATTTGTTTTGGGGTCGTGGCTTACTCTTTTGTCGGTGAAGCCCACGGACGACTGAGGGAGTGTCATAATGAAAGTGATGCAATGACTTCATAATACGCAAATTATGAGATAGCTGTACCGAGCATGCGCTCTGGAAAAAAACTAAGTAAGCGTCAAACAACATTTTTATTTATTTTTTAACAAAACTACGATATGGATTAAAAATGGTTTATAAGAACTTAGATATGATTATTGACTATGCCTTAAAAATAATTCCACGAACTTATTCATAAAACTATTGTGGTGTCATGCAAAAATGTAACTAATTAAAGCCTACTTTGCAATTTTTTCTATCGAGAAAATATCATGATATCGTGTTTTCCTTGTATGCAATCCAAGTTCATATAGTCAAAAACCATATACCAAAATTTTGGTTTGTAATCTATAAAACTTTAAAAAATATGTGAAATAGAAAAACTACCACATTTTCAAGGTATCACCTTAAACTTATACTTAATGTATGCTAAACATAGGCCTCCCACATAGCTTGCCTCACAGAGGGGATTTTGCCATAGTTGCCACGATTGGCAGGCGGGTAGGCAATCGCAGTTTTTTTATAATTTTGTGTTGTTTTTAATAAGATGCTGCTGGTCATCCCGGGTTTGTTTTACTCTATAACCTCTTACGACACCCATGTAATGATAACTGTGTTGGTTTGTGTCGTAAGTAACGTAGTAATCCTACTAACCACAATAACTGTGGCTCAATACTTTACTAGAAAATGCATAGATTATATTCGAAACATTTACGTATTTTTTTCAAAAAACATTCTATGTATTGAGACAAGATTTTACGTATTGAAATTGAATTTTCATAAGAACTGTATAAATTACCTATATGCTTTTTTATATTTGATAGTATTTAGGTTTTTGATATTTCAGCCTTTTTTATATCATTATCATCATTACAGCCCTTCACAAGTCCACTACTGAACATAGGCTTCCCCCAAGGAATGTCACAAAACACGGTCCTGAGCCACCAGCATCCATCGACTTCCTGCATGTCTTACTAGGTCATCACTCCATCTAGTGGTGATTGTCCTATACTTCGCCTATCGGTACGAGGCTGCCACTCGAGAACCTTTTTTCCCCATTGGTTGTCGGTTCTTCGAGCTGTATGGACGGCCCATTGCCACTTCACTTTTTGTTATATACTTAAATCTCAGACCAACAAAGAATGAAGGAGCGCTGCTTACATTTCAAGTGACAACTTGCTTTGTTTTTTTTTTTTGTTTAAAAAACCAAAGTGAAATAGCGAATGGAATACAATTTAAATTTGGGATTAGTCACTGATATTTTATTTATGTACAATGTATATATAGATTCTATATTTTTCCAAATTTTTAAAAATTAAAAAAAGGCATTTTTGAGTGCGCTAGTTATATGTTGAAATAGTTAATTACTCAGTATGTCGGTTGATACTTTCTATTTTGTTGGTTTAGTCTTTTAATTCTCATCAGACCGTAAGTAATTGGTCATGGTCCTGAATTAGTGACAGGTTAAATATTGAGGAGAGAACCGTTTACGTGACAGTGCAACGCTACAGCGTGACGTGACTGTAGCCACGCTTGGATCGGCAAACCACGAATCACGTTCGCACAGAATACCAGCGTGATATAGCGGCATAATTCTGCTACGATTCAAATGGCAACCTTTTATACTCGTAACGAGGCATACCATAATTTTACGCAGGGTTAAAAAGGTAACTGTATTTTGATTCTTAATCAAGGATATACGTCTATGGACCACAACAACTGTTTACCATCAGATGGATCAGGTAGATTCGTATTCGAGAATAAATGTAGATGTCTATGGGCCACAGCATCCACTTACCATCAAGTCATCACACTTTTTCTATTTAAAAAAAGGTGGACTGTGTGCTGATTTGTCACTTTTGACTTTTGGGAAGTAAGCCTGTGCAGTATCTTTTTTTTTTATAGAAGAGGGGGCAAACGAGCATGCGGCTCACCTGATGTTAAGTGACTACCGCCGCCCATGATCAACCGCAACACCAGGGGAATTGCAGGTGCGTTGCCGGCTCTTTAGAAAGGAGTAAGCTCTTTTCTTGAAGGTCCCCAGGTCGTATCGGTCCGGAAAAATCGCTGGTGGTAAACTATTCCACAGAAGTTTTTCTTCCGCGTACAAACTCTGTTCGTCCTCTTAAAACGTACAGTGGTGGACCGCCAAGCATCATCCAGATGGTGTGGATGGTATCGCGACGTTTACCGCGTAGTCCGTTCACGAAATTTGGCGGCTGGGATTAATCCGAACAATTCCTCAGAGCACTCTCCATGGTATATGCGAAAGAAAATGCAAAGAGATCCAACATCTCTTCGCAGTGCCAGTGAATCGAGCCCATCGGAAGGCACTCGTTCGTCGACGATTCGAGCCGCTCTGCGCTGGATGCGTTCAAGTGGAAGGAGCTGGTACTGGGGAGCCCCAGCCCAGATATGGGAACAGAATTCCATGTGCGGCCGAACCTGCGCCTTGTAAAGTTGCAGGCGGTGCGCCGGCATGAAATACTGTCCCGCTCTGCTGAGCACGCCAAGCTTTTTAGAGGCCAATTTGGCCTTCTCTTCCAAGTGACCACGAAAATGCACGTCTATCGATATGTCGACGCCGTGGATTCCGATACTGGATGAGGCAACAAGGGGAGTGCCTTGAAACTGAGGAGATACGACGAAGGTGTTCTTTATAGCGGTTAACGCGGAAACTTGTGTCTTCTGGGGGTTAAACTAGACTAGATTTAGTCGCCCCCAATCCGAGACTCTGTTCAGCAAAGACTCGACTTCAGACACAAGTTTGTCCCGGCACTCAGAGACGTTTTCCCGAGAAATATTGGCTCGGCCGGTGTAAAGAGCATCACCATTGCTGTCATCTGCATAGCAATGAATGTTACGGGTTTGCAACATATCATTGATATGCAGAAGAAACAGCGTTGGCGATAGCACGCAGCCTTGTGGAACACCAGCGTTAATAGGCTTGCAATCGGAGCTTGCACCGTCTACAACGACCTTGATGCCCCGATCTTCAAGAAAGCTGGTGATCCAATCGCACAATTTCTCGGGAAGCCCTTAGGAAGGGAGCTTCGAAAGACGCGCTTTGTGCCAAACCCGATCGAAGGCCTTCGCAATGTCCAAACTAACGGCCAATGCCTCCCCCTTGGACTCTACTGCCTCTGCCCATCTGTGAGTTAGGTAGACCAGAAGATCACCAGCTGACCACGGCGAAAACCGTATTGGCGGTCACTAATCAGCTGGTGATCCTCAAGGTACCTCATGAGCTGGCAGTTTACAATTGACTCAGCGATGACAGGCGATAGGCCTGTAGTTGGACGGGTCTGAGCGGTCGCCTTTTTTAGGGATCGACTTTTTTAGTGGACGAAAGCCGTCTTCCATGATTTTGGGACTACGCCTAGGGAGTAGGAGTACCGGAAAAGACGCGTTAAAACCGGTGCCAACTCTGGAGCACACGTCCTCAGCACAATTGGGGGGATTCCGTCAGGCCCACTCGACTTGTAGATTTCCAGGGGAGAGGAGTGCTTTGTGAACCAAGCGCCGTGTGAACTGCACTTTCGGCATGGAGCACTCACACCGCGGGATAGTCGGCGGCGTACTCGGCCCGTCATCGAGGGTCGAGTTGGACGCAAAGAAAGAGCCTAGAAGATCGGCTTTCTCCTTTGCGGTAAGGGCCAGTGAGTCGCCCACTCTGTGCGGAGATGGAAGAGATGGCTGACAGAAATTCCCCTGGACAGCCTTGGCGAGAGACCAGAATGCACGGGTTCCAGAAGGAAGGCGAACTAGTTTCTTGCCAATTCTGCCTATGTGCTCTGACTTTGCCTTGGCAATGACTCTTTTGAGGGACCTAGAGGCGGAATTATACTTCTTTTTTAGAGCGCTGGTGTTTACATCCCGGGACGCTGATGTGTCAGCCCAGGCTTGGTAGCACTCCTGCTTATAGCATGATGCTATTTTACAGGAGCGACCAAACCATGGCTGAGATTTGCCTCCAATGGGCACCACAGAGGAAGGAATAAAAAGTTCCATACCCTGAAGCACCACATCAGTGACAGAATCCGCAACAACGTTGGGATCGTCCGGCGAGAAGCAAACCCGCCCCCAAGGGTAGGATGCAAATAAAAGTATACTATAGTGCCAAACACGGCGGCAGCCTGCAGAATGCAACTGCAATTTCAGCGTAAGTGGAACCACACTCCGAACGAGACAATGGTCCGAGGAGCCTAAAGGGGCGTCGACGGAAATCTGATATCCGTCCGGGTGAGAGGTCAGCAGAAGGTGCAACAGGGAAGGTGCATGATTCTCCACATCTGGAATCCGCGTAGGCGAAGTAACCAGTTGAGTCAGACCATATGCCAAGGCAAAATCATGAACAGATCTCCCCGCATGATCAGTTAAACGTGAACCAAGCCATTCGGCGTGATGGGCGTTAAAATCGCCGAGAATCACGATCTCTGCAGAGGGGATCTGCTGTAGCAACGAATCTGTATCCATTTGGACGTGGTCGATGAGTCGGTCTGTTTCACCATTACCGCTATAAGACCTATAGAGGCACCCGTAGACGCGCGGATGGTCGTCGCTGTCTACGCGTAGCCAAAGGATGGACAGGTCCGAACCTTCAAGTCTGCCGAGGCGTCGAGAACTCCAAACTCCAGCCCGAGGCACAAAGGAGTGTTCCAGTTTGTACACCTGCGTCTCGGTCAGAAAGAGCAGAGCCGGCCTCGCCGTCTCGAGATGGTAGTGGACGGCGTTTAGGTTAGAGTGAAGTCCCCTGATATTGCAGAAATTCACGGACAGCGTGGCAGGGGTCGCCATGGTCTTGTTGCTCCGTTTGCCCTGAGCAGTTGTAGTCTTGAGCGGAATTTTGCCAACCCAGAATACGCGGGGCAGCC